TTATGAGATTCAAATCAAATTAGAAGGAATAGTGGGAGCGAGGGTATTAGCTCCGGTTTGCATAATTGAATGTTGAGGGCGGATTCGTGCTAACTGTTTGTTAAATTCTGTTGTCCTGGTCTGGTCCTAAATCCTGTTGTTATATAAGAATGCCTTTAGATTCTAATGAAACAATGAATTTATTTTTTTGCAAATAGGCCATAAAACTGCAATTTTACACGTCAACAATATATGTAAAAAAACTAGATGTAGCCGACATTTCTTATCTTCCTACCCGGAGAAGAAATGCCGAAACAAACTCAGAGGTCCGTCTCTTTTCAAGTCCAGACAATGTGAAAAATAATATAAAGTGCGAGAACCGTGCAAGTTCATTCTGTAGTGGTATTTTGAAGAAAGAACTACACCAGTTTATGTGGATCCGTTCTGAAGACAGGCACGCAAGTGTCAGTTTTCAACCAATTTAGCTAAAGGACCTGAAGGCTTGGTATATTCGATTTTTAAGATTGTATTAAGTATATTATACTGTATTTTAGGTGCACGAACGAATCAAGTGTCCTATTTTTAACCCCCGGCGCAAAAAAGGGGTGTTATAAGTTTGACGTGTCTGTCTGTCTGTCTGTGGCATCATAGCTCCTGAACGAATGAACCGATTTCAATTTAGTTTTTTTTGTATTACAGGTGTTTTACGGGCGAATGTTCTTAGACATGTTTGATGAAAATCGATTAAGTTTTTTAAAAGTTATGGGGAGTTAGTGGGGAAGAAAAACCGAATGTCTGCAAATATGCTCATGCATATGCAGTGGGTCAAATGAAAGGTTATGACTTGTACGACACAAAAAACAAAAACTTAAGTTTGACGTGTCTATCTGTGTGTCTGTGGCATCATAGCTCCTGAACGGGTGAAACGATTTCAATTAAGTTTTTTCTGAATTATATACTTTTCAGAGGTAGCTTATGTTTTAGTGTCGAGGTTTTTTATTCATAATGTACCTACTTACCGTACCTAATTTACCATACATACATACGTCGGCAAGAAATCCAAATTTGTTTATACATATTCTAACTCAATAGTTGATCGTTCCACCGAGATCTCAATAACAGTGTTTGTTTGTTTTTCCTAATAAATTCGCATCGTTTGTGAATTTCAATAATTATGATGTTTATAATAACAAGGCTCCGGTCTCCACGCGCTGATGTCACCAACGCGGCTCCTCCACATATCTAGAACAATTAACTCCTATTGTTTATGAATCCCTCGTCGTTATTTAAGTCTTTTCTCTATTGTATGCCTAGAAAACATAACATGCTATGCTTTCATGATCGCCTGGTACCTCCGGACGTTGATATTTTTATTATTTTTCATTATTTTCTTAGGATTGATTCTTGTACGTTCAGACAATCTTTTATTCATTTCAATTGTATTATAACAATCAAGTTTCATAAAAAACTGTTCAGCTGTTTAGCGTTTTTGTGTTCAAATACAGACAGATATGTTGACAAACTTTCTAATATCATTTCTATTTTATTGTAATATACAACATATTCTTCAATAGTTTATCGGAGTAAACACCCAATAATAATGCCTATTTTGTTTAAACTGCAGAGCCATATTACATAATCTTTTGGTAGGTAATGTATTTTTTTATGGAACCGATGTTTTCTTGCGGCATACATCCTGGATGTTATGTGGTCCTGGCACTTCATTACATAATATTAATATTAGTTCCATAATCAATCGTTTATTGTATTCGTGTAGTTTACAAATTTTTACGAGTATCTGTCGTCAGTCTGTCTGTTTTCATCTACAAAATTGGCTACCTTATTGACATTTAGTCAAATGGTAGACTTGTAAAATTGACAAAAATTGTCATGTTCGGTGAATTTTGAGAAGCATTTTATGTGGCGACGTCATCACGTCTTTTTATAACAAATAGGATATTTATTTCTTGACTTTATTTTATTATTTTACCTAATTTAGGTAAAATTATAAAATATTAAGTATGTATTTAATTGATCAAAATGATTATTTTCGTAAAAGTTCGAATATAATAATTTTTGACTGCGAATTATTTTAAACACGGATGTATAATAATAACATATATTTTGAAAGAACACTGTAATATTATGTTTTCCTGTCATCGTAAAAGTTTATAAAAAAGTATAACGATGGAGTTTCTTTCTCGCTCTTCTCCATTCGAATCTACACTTTGGAACGAGCACCTAGCTTCACTGACAAACAGACTGACAGACTACTATTCTATTTTGACGTTTCAAAAGTACCTATTTATGGTTTAGTTGGAATAAATGATTTTAAATTTTGAACTTAGACCTGGTATATCGACAAGAAACATTTTCTATATCCTATTTCTAGTTTGTTACATCTATAATAATAAATACTGTCTGCATGTATGTATACATATGTAGGAACACGTGTCAATACTCATAATGATTGATCATTTAACAATCGCATCGCATATATCGGTCGAAGTAATTTAGCTCGTTGAGTGGAACTCGGAATAAAATACCTCTTACCATAATATTACTACATAGTATAAAACAAAGTCGCTTTCCCTGTCCCTTTATCTCTATGTATGCTTAAATCTTTAAAACTACGCAATGGATTTTGATGCGGTTCTTTAATAGATGGATTTATTGAAGACGAAGGTTTATAAATGTGACTTTTTCCGAGTTATATGTACTTTCTCTGATTATTTAGACACTACTGACAAACGGTGAAGGTAAACATCGTGAGGAAACCTGGACTTATAATTTCTAATTATTATAAGTTTGAAATCGCCAACCTGCATTGAGCAAGCGTGGTGATTAATGCTCTAACCTTCTCAGTATGAGAAGAGGCTTTGCTCAGCAGTGGGCACTTGTATAATATCATTGATCAAATAGTGCAGAATATTAGTATCAGCATTACACCCGTGCAAAGTCGTGGCGAATTGCTAGTCCTGCTTAATAAATTTATATTTTTCATATAAAAGATAGGGTTTATACAAATCGTGTGTTTATTATAAATCACATGTAAATATTAAAATGTTTACCGAAACAATAATATTTCAAAAAAAAATTTTTTCGTTTTGTTGTAGGGTAAAGCGCATTGTAACTGTCAGTCGCCATTTTTTTCAACGTTTTTTTTTTCACTTGCAATATGAGATTTGTAACTTAGGTACTTTGTATTTCTATTTTCGTAATAACAATTTTCAATTAAAAAAATAACGGATTTTAATTTCATTTACTTACAGTTATCGTTAAAACGCTATGCAATCCAATTATAAGCACTTAACTCGGAATTAGTTTGCTTACAACAAAATCGTAGTACATTTCCTTTTGATACATATTCCATCAGTTTTTAATATAAAAACACGCTGTCATAACAACAGGCGGCATAAATGTATAATAGAAATCGTGACTGTATTCAAAAATAAGGTAATTTAGGCTTTTGTGGGGTTTTTCCGCTACTAACTCGAAAATACATGGTTCCAAGCAGTGGATTATGTACTACAAAGGAAATTAGTTTATTAACATTAGCATTTAAGTAGTTTACAATGAATTAAATAATCGAATTTAAGCGTCTTATGCACAACTCGATTCCAATTCGATTTAGGCAGACTGACTCTAAGAAGTAATTCTTTTTGAGTGCAGCTTTTAAAATCTATTCGAGTAGGTAGTAACTTGCGTAGATGCGGTTAAATTCTCATCATAAACGCTTGGTTTTCTATTTCAAAACGCTGCAAGACTGTTGTGAAAACTCAATTTCTCGTTAGTCAGTTTAAAAGACTTCTTCAATAGTGAAGTGCTTCTAAAATCTATATTTATCCACGGGCATAAAGATTCATATCGTCTATCCAAACAGTTGAGATTGTAATGTCGGCGTAAGTGTTTCCTAGTAAGCGGAAGCTTCAAAAGATACGTATGTTCATAAATAGCAAATGTTTCGAAGATATTCTCGCGAGAGAGCGCCTCACATACCATCCTGTACTGGCGTAGTTACACGAGTGCCCTCCTGCCACAACACAAAACGAACAAACGATTGTTCACAAAACGAAACAATAAAAAAGTGGTTCAGACGAGGGCTTTGTTTAGCCAAATGAGGGAATTTGGTTGTAGAGGACGAGGGACCCGGTAACTGTGTGGCGGGCCACTATTGTAGCTCGGAGCCTGATCGCTACACCAGATACTGTATGTATGGGTAAACGACCCCGAGAATGTCGCGGTAAACACCTCCGAGCTGTCGACACAGGACTCGGTGCCTTGTTATAATATACAGACAAGTTGTGTTAGGTTATTATTAGGCGACATCGCCAGTATTGCCTTTAAATGTACGCAGTTTATCTTCATGCCAACTTTATAACTCCCTAAAAGATTCGTTTTCAGTGCCAAACATGGCATTAAGCATGCCAAATGGCCCGTAAAGAGCCCCGAACTACTACTTACAGTCGGATTAACTTCGCTAAGCAAAAATGACTGGGAATACATAAATTGCAGAGTCTGAGTGCACGAAGCATTGCCCAACTGCAGTGGTCTAACGATTTGCTCTAGTACAAGTGAGCTAAGCCCTGTATAGCTGAGCTATGCGGCTCGGCGCAACAGGAAGCCGCCGTGTTTACAGCGACGCGACGTGACCGACACGGTGACGACTCGACACGTTTCCGAGAACCAGTCGGTGGCCGGCTCACGTTCAGCGACACCAGACATCGATCCATGCGAAACGATTTGTTGACAGAAAGTCCTCTCCATACTAGTCGAGCGTGCACTTACTGCGCTGAGCTGAAGCAACAGTTCCGTCTCCACTGTCTCCAGGTTCGAGTGTCGTAAGACAAAGCTATCAGCTACGATTCTCGTTGGAACCAAACTCGGCCGTGACTCGAGCGAATCGATTGTCTCGATCAGTCGGCAATTGAACGGAATTGAATACTATTTATAGTAGAAGCAACGGGAGCTTCCGATGCAATTGCCTCGGATATCGAGATGGAAACGAGACGCCATCGGACATGTTCGTGCGCCATACATCACTAGGTACGACGCGATTCACATTAAGATCACTCGGAACACAATAATAATGGTCGGTTGTGAGAAAAAATATAGAGCGGCGACGTCGTATCGACGTTTCATTCGTCGGTCGCTGGAGCGTTACTGGACAGACGCACTGTCGCGGCTGCGGCGCGCCCGCCGTACATAACAACACTTTATAGGCATTTTTTATGGCTTCGGCAAAAACTAAGAACACTGACACTTGAACACAACAAGCGGTGGTCACAGACACCGCGGCACACACTGCTCACCTGAGCCTCACGGGCGGCGGGATGTTGAACGCCGGGTACAGTTTCGCGTTGGGACTCTCAAACAGCATCGCGATTGTTTGTTTCACCGTGCACGCATCGTGCACCCGTCCGCGCGATGTAGCGGCCGGCCGTACACTGCCGGCGCTGCGCCGCGCCACCCCGCGCTACCCCGCGTCCCCGCGCCCCTCCGCGCCGCGGTACCCCGCGCCCCCGTGACGTCACGCCCGGAACGCTAAGCTAGGCTTCTTCGTGTCAACCGTAGCGCCCCGTCCCTGTCGCGCGCTCTACTCGCGAGCGGGACGTAGCATGTCTTACAAAGGATATTGCGTCGATGCGTATTAGCAGCTCGGCTCGGGCCGGCTCGCAGCCCCTCCACGGTAGGGCTTCGCGCGGGATGCGGAGCGCAGCCAGCCAGCCAGCTCTCACTGTTTATTTATGCCTGTGTGACCTCCACAAGTTTCGTGCTCGGAGCTTATGAAATATAGACGTGACTTGGCCGGAGGGTGATGTGGATCAGCTGAGTGAGGTGTGCGAGCGTACAGCCTCTACAAGGTCGAGGGTACACAGCGCAGACACAGCCGTGTTTGCTACTCGTAATTACATGACTCGAAGAAAAAATCACGCATTTCCGCCCCACTTCCCCCCAAATCGTCCTTTATAATCGACATTAGATGTCTTCTGTTCTAGTACCTATAAGTTAAGAGGGAGCGAAGCTGCGGGCAATAGCTAGTTTTTTTATAAAATCTGTTTATACTTATATAAAAGAACTCGATTCTGTTGTGAATCGATTCAGTCGCAATTGGAATCGAATTTTTAGAAAAAATCGCTACACTTTGGGAGTCGGTCCACGGGCCATAACTACTACAGTCCAGTGGAGGAGCAGGACCAGGAGCTGGACCGAGCGCTCGGAGCCAGGCGGAAGGTCTCAGCGACGACAAATAAAACACACGCACACACACGTATCTTACAAAATTATCTTTTTATTCTGTTTCAGTTTGGTATCAACACCCATCCCACGCACACTATATACAATGTACATACACACACACACACACAGATACAAAACGACATTACATTAATTCGCTGTTCCATACAAAATGTTCATACTTACTGCTATTGTATAATTAACTAATACATTCATGCTGGCAACACCACCGCAGACACACGCAACGATGGCAACACTGTACAGTACAGTGTCCGGGACGGTGGTGTTGCCAGCAATAAACAAACAAACAAACACCTTGTGCGTCTTACATTAAACATAATTACATGATACATTAGTCGACATGCGCGAGTGTTGCCAGCGCACTTTAAGTACACGAACGTTTCGGCTGGCAACACCGCGTCACAACATTACTGAGTGGCAACACTAAAACATTCGGCCGTCTGTCTGTACATTCGTTATTCACAGTAATATCACAAGTCAGTCGCGTGTCGCCACCCGCGGGTGCTCGGTACCCCGGGCGCGGCGCCGGGCTCAGTCGTGCAGCAGGCCCCGTGCCTTGGCCGTCAGCTTGCGCACCCGGCCGCGCGAGGATATGGACAGGCCCCCCGGGACGGCCGAGCCCCCGGAGCCGCCCGCCACGCCGGGGCCCGAGCCCTGCGAGCCGCTGGAGCCCGAGCCGGCCTCGTTGTGCCCGTTGTAGTAGGCGACGGGGTCGGCGCGCGCGGCGTGGCGGCGGCGGCGCGAGGCGAGCTGGCGCTGGGCGCGCGGCGCGGCGCGCGCGTGCTGCCCGCGCTTGGGGATGGCGGCGGCCGCGTCGTCCGAGCTGTGCTCGTGTAGCGCGCGCCGACTCGCTTCTTGCCGGTGGCTCTCTCTATACTCGACTGGACCACCGGCCACCGTGCGAGCTCTGCACTCTCCTCAGACTGGCTAACCACAACTCATTGCTCGTTCTTCTCCATTCGAATCTAGGTACACTTTGGATCGAGCGCCTAGCTTCACTTACAGTTCAAAGCTATTTGGTTCAGTTGGAATAAATGTTATTGACTTTGACTGATTAATTGAATTAAAGCTTTTGGAAGGTTTACAGGTATTATCGCTCGTAACTTGGAATCCAAATGATGAATGTTAACGCATAAATTGATCATCAATATTTATATTGGAATTTACATGTATCTACCTATTTCATTTCAGTTAGAATGAAGTTGCTATTCTAATATAATCTGTACTAGTTTTATTCTGCAGTTTGTTGTGTTCGGCGATTAATTTTAAATTATGTTTGATCTCATTAATGTGATCTCGTATGTAATTTGTAATTGCTTAAATATTATTCTGTTTTTTTTATGTTCTTTATTTTGTATTTGGCTGGTTTTTTTTTATTTTTGATTTTAATTTTAATACCTAATTAATGTTGCTTATGTGAGATCAAGTTTTATGTTTCGTTATTCCTGATATTGATATTGTATGTCTGACTATGTTTTAATATTATAATTTTAAATAAGTATATTTTTGAATGATGTGGCCTCCTGTAACTGAGGATGCACATTGTTTTTATATTGTCTTTGCTACTTTTGAGGATGCTATTGAATAAGTATTATAAAATAATTAGGGCTCTAAGATAGTTGTTCCTGTTTCTGTCAGAACGGGTCCACTTAAACTGGTGTAGGTAGTTCTTTCCCCAAAAGACCACTACGGAATGAACTTGTATGGCTCTCACACATTACGTTTATTACATTGTCTGGATTTTAAAAGAGGCTTACCTCCGAGTTTGTTTCGTCATTTCTTCTCAGAGTAGTCAGATAGATAATAATACTGGCTTTATCTAGTATTTATAAATATTTATAAATGAGTTTGACTTTTCGATTTATAAATATGCCGACTTAACCATAAACAGGTAGGTACCTTCAAACATCAAAATATAAAAATAGTCAACCAGTCTGTTTGTCAATGAAGCTAGTAGCTTAATTATTATGTTTTCGTTTTACTCACGTAATAATTTGACGAGATACTCGACTAGTTTCAAGCCATGCAAGAGGCCCATATTCATGATAATTAATTTAGAATGTCTCATGAAAGCTAGTTGCTCATTCCAAAGTTTAGATTAGCATGGAGAAGAAAATACATCATTAATGTTCTATTTTTCTATTTATCTAGCTAATTTTAAACAAATAAAAACTTTGTTATGTGACACAATAACAACATGATCCCATAGAGAATTTTTTAATTGGCAGTTTGATTTTTATTGAATTTGAATAGCTGTCAAAATTAACCATGTATTGGCAAAGTAGCTCTTACAGCGCACATCGTCAGCCTATGAGTGCCCACTGCTGTGCAAAGGCCTTTTCTTACACGGACAAGGTTTGAGTATTGATTATCACACTTGGTTTATCAAGGTGGATTGGCAATTTCAAACTTATAATTAGAAATTGTAAGTCCAGGTTTACTCACGATGTTTCACAATATGTCAGTGGAATCTAAGTAATCATAGAAAGCGCGGGTTGCAGGCCGCGGCCGCGGCCTAAAGCAGGAGAAGGTACAAGGGGTTTTTAGTTAGTTAAAGTCTGACACTCCCTCCTAACCCTGGGCAGAAAGTACATATAACTCGGAAAAGTCACATTGATACCTGATAGATTTCGAACTAACACTCTCATGCAGGAGACGTGGGCACCTTCAGGCATCCATGACACACAGTTCACGTGGATGTAAAGCAATCCATCTTCTTCGTTCCAGTGTTGGAGTTCCTGGCTGCACATGGATGGTTTGTCCTGGGGGGCATCGCAGCAGCCATCTACATCTACCACAAGTTACGGCCGACGCTCGACAGGTGGCGCCAGCAGCGTGAGGATGCAGAGTACCATAAGAGTGAGTGCATTTAGTTACAACTAACTGCATGATGCGGCGATTGACGTGCAGTTCTAACAGTACTACTACTACAGATATACTGGCAGACTAAATTGGTCAGCCTGATTGCCGACATATCCAAAAAAACAGTACTGAAATTTATTTAAATGGCTAGATTAAATTTAGTATTTTCTCCTGTGTCGTGGGTGCTGTTACAAACATACAATTTCACATACACAAGACACCCAGACCCGGAACAACAATTTGTGGATCACACAAAGAGTTGTTCCGTGCGGGAATCGAACCCGTGACACGTTGCACGGCAGCCAGTTGCCCAGCCACCGCACCAACCGTGCAGTCAAATTGTCCTTGAAATAAATACTTTGTCTTCCTCGTTCTTATTGCTTATTGTTGTACTATTCGTGCGCAGACCCGGACGTGGCGCTGGCCCGCATGGAGGCAGTGCAGCGCGCGCGCGAGGCCCAGCAACAGAAGTTGTTGGCTGACTCACAGAGGGCGCTAGAGCTGCAGAAAGAGGTTCGATACCATGTTACCATTTACAGCAGTACCACTTGCTTTGCTAACATAATTCGCGTCATCGATGGTTGACAGTCCACAACACTTTCGTCCCCCATCACATACATAGATGAAAGTTTTACAGAAGACACTTTTAAGAGTGGGAGAGCTACACTTCATTGATTTTCGCAGTGTCAATGAGGTAATCAAAGGCCCTATCCTTGTGACCTTGCATGGTGCTCAGACATTAAGTATATTATATTGTCTGGGTTTTAATAAGGAATGTCGGCTTCATCGAGTATTGTTTTATAAATTATATTGACGTGTAAGAGTGCTGTTTAGTTTGATGCGAAATACTGAACAGCGTTATTTATACCCGCTTTGGTTGATCAAAATGTATATTTCTAACAATGTGTTTATACATATATATATAGCTACAGCGTCTGTCTGTCTGTCTGTCTGTCTGTCTACAGAAAGAGGAACGTAAGCGCGCGGAGCTGGCGGAGCGGCTGGAGAAGTATGGCGCCGCCGCCGGCGGACACCGGCTCGGGGAGAGGCAGGACGAGAGCGGTACGCGGCGTACTACATCACTCATATAGTGACCACCTTAACATGCGAGGGGATCCCACAGACAGCTACAGTTGTCGACATAGCCCGAAGGATTAGCAAACTCAAGGGGCATTCGGTAGACGTGTTCTAGAGCGGAGACCACGTCTAGGCAAACGTAGTGTAGGGCGCCCTCCAGCTGAGGTGGCTGGCAGTGGATGGATGAGAAGAGCTCAGTGGCGTGCAATTAGGGAGGCCTATGTCCAGCAGTGGACAACATCAGGCTGATGATGATACTTAATTCTTGCACTTTACAATGTATTCGAACACCAAAAGTAGTTAATGATGACCGAACCTTAGCGAGCTAATTAATGCGTGAGGTTTTACATTAAATATAATGTGTAAGCTTATTGATTACTCGTACATTGCTTGTGCCGGTATCAGGTTAAGTAGAAGTGGCGTTAGGTCGGCTGTAAGATTACGCTCCGGCCACTGTCCATCAGCAAACGTTGCATTGCTCATGAAGAAACTAAGTTCTCCGAGTATACTTGAGGGTGCACTACATATGCTGGTGGATGTGTCAAGGACCAAGTAGAAAGGAGAATCGATGAGTTTAATTTGAATATATCAGAGATTGGTCTCACACAAACCAAAGTCGACTTGGCAAGGACGTTTTGTGAGTTGGTGTTCCGTAGCGAGTAAGACTCTCCTTTTGATGGCTCAGCAAACGAGCAGACGGATTACCTGATGGTAAGCAATCAGCGCCGCCCATGGACACCCGCAACAACAGAAGAGCTACGAGTACTTTGCCGATCTTTTGGGGATTAGGGATTTGGAGATTTAGGGATTGGGGGAGGGGAAAGTAATTTAATTACTTTTAAGTGAAAGTAGATGGGGTTGGCGTATCCATTGGAATATAAACTCCGATAAATAAAACATTGCTTATTACATTAGTGTGTGTATAAATACTGTTCGGGCGCTACTCGGATGAGTTAGGTTAGGTTACAACTGTGGACATGTGATCGATTGATAATTAGTTTTTGGAATCATTTTCCTTGACATAGGATATCGCGATGAGAGTGACTTTGATTATAATTTTACATAAAATTCACTATATCTGGTTGCGAGTTGTACATAAAAGTTTTGTTGTTATAATGTTTGCTTGCAGACTACTTGCCACTGAGCGGAGGAGCGTCCACGTCCACGTACCGCCCCCCCAAGAAGTCCAAGTGCGGCGGCGGAGGCTGCGGCCGATAGCCCGAGGGACTGGGGGACGGCGCAGTACGCGACTAGAGCAACGATTGCGAGTGTCGCGGCCATTCTGTGCTCCTCTTTATATCTATCATCAATAAATATACGCCCTCTTGGGAGATGTGCGCGTGTCTCATTTCCGCCCCACTTCCCCCCAAATCGATTCTTAAACCGATATATCGATTGCTCGACCTTTATAATCGACATTACATGTCTTCTGTTCCAGTACCTATAAGTTAAGAGGGAGCGAAGCCGCGGGCAATAGCTAGTCTTTTATAAAATCGGTTTATAATTATATATAAGAACTCGATTCTGTTGTGAATCGATTTAGTCGCGATTGGAATCAATATTTTTAGAAAAAATCGCTACACTTTGGGAGTCGCTCCACGGGCCATAACTACTACCAGCAGAGTGCAGGAACCGCCCAGTGGAGGAGCAGGACCAGGAGCTGGACCGAGCGCTCGGAGCCAGGCGGAAGGTCTCAGCGACGACAAATAAAACACACGCACACACACGTATCTTAGAAAATTATCTTTTTATTCTGTTTCAGTTTGGTATCAACACCCATCCCACGCACACTATATACAATGTACATACACACACACACACACAGATACAAAACGACATTACATTAATTCGCTGTTCCATACAAAATGTTCATACTTACTGCTATTGTATAATTAACTAATACATTCATGCTGGCAACACCACCGCAGACACACGCAACGATGGCAACACTGTACAGTACAGTGTCCGGGACGGCGGTGTTGCCAGCAATGAACAAACAAACACCTTGTGCGTCTTACATTAAACATAATTACATGATACATTAGTCGACATGCGCGAGTGTTGCCAGCGCACTTTAAGTACACGAACGTTTCGGCTGGCAACACCGCGTCACAACATTACTGAGTGGCAACACTAAAACATTCGGCCGTCTGTCTGTACATTCGTTATTCTCAGTAATATCACAAGTCAGTCGCGTGTCGCCACCCGCGGGTGCTCGGTACCCCGGGCGCGGCGCCGGGCTCAGTCGTGCAGCAGGCCCCGTGCCTTGGCCGTCAGCTTGCGCACCCGGCCGCGCGAGGATATGGACAGGCCCCCCGGGACGGCCGAGCCCCCGGAGCCGCCCGCCACGCCGGGGCCCGAGCCCTGCGAGCCGCTGGAGCCCGAGCCGGCCTCGTTGTGCCCGTTGTAGTAGGCGACGGGGTCGGCGCGCGCGGCGTGGCGGCGGCGGCGCGAGGCGAGCTGGCGCTGGGCGCGCGGCGCGGCGCGCGCGTGCTGCCCGCGCTTGGGGATGGCGGCGGCCGCGTCGTCCGAGCTGTGCTCGTGTAGCGCGCGCCGACTCGCTTCTTGCCGGTGGCTCTCTCTATACTCGACTGGACCACCGGCCACCGTGCGAGCTCTGCACTCTCCTCAGACTGGCTAACCACAACTCATTGCTCGTTCTTCTCCATTCGAATCTAGGTACACTTCGTAACGAGCGCCTAGCTTCACTTACAGTTCAAAGGTTCAGTTGGAATAAATGTTTTTATTGACTGATTAATTGAATTAACGCTTTTGGAGGGTTTACAGATATTATCGCTTGTAACTTGGAATTCATAAATTGATCATCAATATTTATATTGGAATTTACATGTATCCATCTACCTATTTCATTTCAATTAGAATTAAGTTGCTATTCTAATTTATAATCTGTACTAGTTGTATTGAGCAGTTTGTTGTGTTCGGTGATTAATTTTAAATTATGTTTGATCTCGAATGTAATTTGTAATTGCATAAATATTATTCTGTTATTAATGTTCCTTACTTTTGTTTTTTATTTTACTGTGAAATGTTGGTTAATATCGAATACCTAATTAATGTTGCTTATGTGAGATCAAGTTTTATGTTTCGTTATACCTGATATTGATATTGTATGTCTGACTATGTTTCAATATTATAATTTTAAATACTTAAATATATTTTTGCATGATGTGGCCTCCTCCTGTAACTGAGGATGCACATTGTTTTTATATTGTCTTTGCTGCTTTTGTGAATGCTATTGAATATTATTGAATAATTAGGGCTCTAAGATAGTTGTTCCTGTTTGTGTCAGAACGGGTCCACATAAACTGGTGTAGTTCTTTCCTCAAAAGACCACTACGGAATGAACTTGTAGGTATGGCAAACTATAGGCCTGTGTCTGTTCTGCCGGTTCTTAGCAAAGTGTTTGAAAAGTTAATGCTATCTCGGATGCTTCATCACTTTGATGAACATGCCATCTTCCATCACCAACAATACGGTTTCACTAAAGGTCGTTGTACAACTGACGCCGGTGTCACTTTGATAAAGGAGGTATTCAGTGCTTGGGAGGAAGCACAGGATGCTGTTGGTGTCTTTTGCGACCTCTCAAAGGCGTTCGATTGCGTTGATCATGAAACACTCTTGCTGAAATTAGATCATTACGGGATTAGACATACTGCACTCCGTCTACTAAAATCATATTTAGAGGATAGGCAGCTGAGAGTTCATGTAGGTGGTTCTAACTCACGGGGCTCTGAGATAAAAATTGGCGTACCGCAAGGTTCAATTTTGGGTCCGTTTCTCTTCTTAGTGTATGTTAATGACTTGCCATTTCTATTTAAAACCGAGCCAAGAACGGTGCTGTTTGCAGATGATATATCATTAATTTTTAGAATAGGTCGACGTGTTAATAATTTGGACGAAGTAAACAGCTCCATTCATCGAGTTCATAATTGGTTTACAGTCAATAATTTAGCACTTAACGAGAAAAAAACAAAATGTATTAAATTTAGCTTGCCCAACGTACACAATAATGATTGTGACATAATTTTAAATGGGCAAAAGTTAGAATTTGTTAACGAGACTATGTTCCTAGGTATTACGCTAGACAATAAACTTCAATGGGGTTCCCACATAAAGACGCTTTCGGGAAGACTGAGCTCAGCTGTTTTTGCAGTTAGACAGATTAGACAGCTCACAGACGTGAACACAGCAAGGCTTGTTTATTTTAGCTATTTTCACAGCATTATGTCGTACGGAATTTTGCTATGGGGTCGAGCTGCGGAAGTAGATTCAATATTTATTTTGCAAAAGCGGGCTATCCGAGCGATATATAACTTGTCCCCTCGTGAATCTCTGAGAGAACTATTTAAAACGATAAATATCCTACCGGTACCTTGTCAGTTTATATATGAAAATAATATGTACGTAAGAAAAAATTTGCAATTATTTGAAAACACAATTTTAATACTAGAGGCAAAGATAGGCTGGCTGTGCCACGATTCCGTCTGTCCAAAGTACAGAAATCCTTTATGGGGTTCTGTGTAAATTGTTACAATAAAATTCCAAGAAGTGTATTAAATCTTAATGAACGAAAATTTAAAACTTATATTAAACGCGAATTATGTAGACAGGCATACTACAAACTTTCAGATTATATTGAGGATAAGAATGCCTGGCAGCATGTTGGTTCGGCTCCACTGGACAATTCTCAAATATGTAGTCAGTAGTTATTAAAATTCTCAAAATTAATGAAACCTTGAATGAGTTTATATAGAAGCATTCTTTTGGATTGTGAGTACGCATATGTGAGCGCCATGTACGAGACAACAAAGGATTAAAATTTTAATGATAGATTAGATAGACCATCATTTGTTCCTTTTTATTAACAACTTGTCTCTGCATTGTTCTCACATAGGGGTACAGTAATGTATAAAAAATGTATTATTGATGAATTGTAAAACAAATATTTTTTTAAAAGAGTAACGATGGAGTTTCTTGCTCGTTCTTCTCCATTCGAAACTACAATTTGGAACGAGCACCTAGCTTCACTGACGAACAGACTGACAGACTACTATTCTATTTTGACGTTTCAAAAGTACCTATTTAAGGTTTATTTGGAATAAATGATTTTGATTTGATTTGATTTGGCTCTCACACATTACGTTTATTACATTGTCTGGATTTTAAAAGAAGCTTACCTCTGAGTTTGTTTCGTCATTTTAAAGTGACTTCGTACTAAATAGGCAGGTCCTTTACAAAGACTGGTAAGAATAAGTTGGCCTGTGGCCTGTGCCACTGTGTGGGCCTTCTATTTATGATTGGGTATTAGATTTCATAAAAAAAGAAAATATTTTCACTTTTAACTTTAAGTAATAGAATGATAATAAATAATCACTTTTTTACCAAAAAAGTAATTAATGATTTAATTTTTCTGCATAATAATGAAAAAATAATTATTAGCAATTTCAAATGCATAATAAGAAAATACAAGTCCAGGTTTCCTGTCGATGTTTTTCTTTCACCATATGTCAGTGATGTCAAAATAAACTAAGAAAGTACATATAACGGTGAAAAGTCACATTGGTACTTACAAGAGTAGAGGGCACCTCAACTGATTGTATCAAATGAATATAGTTAAAAATGAATGTATCTAATATGTGATTGGAGCAATGATAATGTAATACAGTATATTGGTATTTTATTATGTGGCTGTTGGCTGTTGGTGTGCCCTGTTGTATTGTTATGTCATTAAATAAATAAACAAGCCGCTGGCCACCACAACATGTACAGTTCACATGGATCTCAAACAACTAATCTTCTTCGTTCCAGTGTTGGAGTTCCTGGCTGCACACGGATGGTTTGTCCTGGGGGGCATCGCAGCAGCCATCTACATCTACCACAAGTTACGGCCGACGCTCGACAGGTGGCGCCAGCAGCGTGAGGATGCAGAGTACCATAAGAGTGAGTGCATTTAGTTACAACTAACTGCATGATGGGGCGATTGACGTGCAGTTCTAACAGTATACTACTACTACAGATATACTGGCAGACTAAATTGGTCAGCCTGATTGCCGACATATCCAAAAAAACAGTACTGAAATTTATTTAAATGGCTAGATTAAATTTAGTATTTTCTCCTGTGTCGTGGGTGCTGTTACAAACATACAATTTCACATACACAAGACACCCAGACCCGGAACAACAATTTGTGGATCACACAAAGAGTTGTTCCGTGCGGGAATCGAACCCGTGACACGTTGCACGGCAGCCAGTTGCCCAGCCACCGCACCAACCGTGCAGTCAAATTGTCCTTGAAATAAATACTTTGTCTTCCTCGTTCTTATTGCTTATTGTTGTACTATTCGTGAGCAGACCCGGACGTGGCGCTGGCCCGCATGGAGGCAGTGCAGCGCGCGCGCGAGGCCCAGCAACAGAAGCTGTTGGCTGACTCACAGAGGGCGCTAGAGCTGCAGAAAGAGGTTCGCTACCATGTTACCATTTACAGCAGTACCACTTGCCTTGCTGACTGTCATAATTCGCGTCATCGATGGTTGACAGTCCACAACACTTTCGTCCCCCATCACATACATCTAAAAAAAAAGAAATCAGGCTGATGATGACCCTCAATTCTTGCACTTTACATTGTATTCGAACACCAAAAGTAGTAAATGCTCACCAAACCTTAGCGAGCTAATTAATGCGTGAGGTTTTGCATTAAATATAATGTGTGAGCTTATTGATTACTCGTACATTGCTTGTGCCGGTATCAGGTTAAGTAGAAGTGACGTTAGGTCGACTGTAAGATTACGCTCCGGCCACTGTCCATCAGCAAACGTTGCATTGCTCATGAAGAAACTAAGTTCTCCGAGTATACTTGAGGGTGCACTACATTATGCTGGTGGATGTGTCAAGGACCAAGTAGAAAGGAGAATCGATGAGTTTAATTTGAATATATCAGAGATTAGTCTCACCCAGACCAAAGCCGACTAAGACTCCTTTTGATGGCTCGGCAAACGAGCAGACGGATTACCTGATGGTAAGCAATCAGCGCCGCCCATGGACACCCGCAACAACAGAAGAGCTACGAGTGCGTTGCTAACCTTTTGGGGATTAGGGATTTGGAGATTTAGGGATTAGGGAGTGGAAAGTAATTTAAGTACTTTTAAGTGAAAGTAAATGGAGTTAGCATATCCATTGGAATATAAACTCCGATAAAAAACATTGCTTATTACATTAGTGTGTGTATAAATACTGTTGGGGCGCTACTCGGATGAGTTAGGTTAGGTTACAACTGTGGACATGTGATCAATTGATAATTATTCTTTGCAATCATTTTCCTTGACATAGGATATCAAGATGAGAGAGACTTTGATTATAATTTTACATAAAATTCACTATATCTGGTTGCGAGTTGTACATAAAAGTTTTGTTGTTATAATGTTTGCTTGCAGACTACTTGCCACTGAGCGGAGGAGCGTCCACGTCCACGTACCGCCCCCCCAAGAAGTCCAAGTGCGGCGGCGGAGGCTGCGGCCGATAGCCCGAGGGACTGGGGGACGGCGCAGTACGCGACTAGAACAACGATTGCGAGTGTCGCGGCCATTCTGTGCTCCTCTTTATATCTATCATCAATAAATATACGCCCTCTTGGGAGATATGCGCGTGTCTCATTTCCGCCCCACTTCCCCCCAAATCGATTCTTAAACCGATATGTATCGATTGCTCGTCCTTTATAATCGACATTACATGTCTTCTGTTCTAGTACCTATAAGTTAAGAGGGAGCGAAACTGCGGGCAATAGCTAGTTTTTTATAAAATCGGTTTATACTTAACTAAAAGAACTCGATTTTTCGACTCGATTACACTAATATAAAAGAACTCTATGAATCGATTTAGTCGCGATTGGAATCGATATTTTTAGAAAAAATCGCTACACTTTGGGAGTCGCTCCACGGGCTATAACTACTACCAGCAGAGTGCAGGAACGTCCAGTGGAGGAGCAGGACCAGGAGCTGGACCGAGCGCTCGGAGCCAGGCGGAAGGTCTCAGCGACGACAAATAAAACACACGCACACACACGTATCTTAGAAAATTATCTTTTTATTCTGTTTCAGTTTGGTATCAACACCCATCCCACGCACACTATATACAATGTACATACACACACACACACAGATACAAAACGACATTACATTAATTCGCTGTTCCATACAAAATGTTCATACTTACTGCTATTGTATAATTAACTAATACATTCATGCTGGCAACACCACCGCAGACACACGCAACGATGGCAACACTGTACAGTACAGTGTCCGGGACGGCGGTGTTGCCAGCAATAAACAAACAAACACCTTGTGCGTCTTACATTAAACATAATTACATGATACATTAGTCGACATGCGCGAGTGTTGCCAGCGCACTTTAAGTACACGAACGTTTCGGCTGGCAGCACCGCGTCACAACATTACTGAGTGGCAACACTAAAACATTCGGCCGTCTGTCTGTACATTCGTTATTCACAGTAATATCACAAGTCAGTCGCGTGTCGCCACCCGCGGGTGCTCGGTACCCCGGGCGCGGCGCCGGGCTCAGTCGTGCAGCAGGCCCCGTGCCTTGGCCGTCAGCTTGCGCACCCGGCCGCGCGAGGATATGGACAGGCCCCCCGGGACGGCCGAGCCCCCGGAGCCGCCCGCCACGCCGGGGCCCGAGCCCTGCGAGCCGCTGGAGCCCGAGCCGGCCTCGTTGTGCCCGTTGTAGTAGGCGACGGGGTCGGCGCGCGCGGCGTGGCGGCGGCGGCGCGAGGCGAGCTGGCGCTGGGCGCGCGGCGCGGCGCGCGCGTGCTGCCCGCGCTTGGGGATGGCGGCGGCCGCGTCGTCCGAGCTGTGCTCGTGTAGCGCGCGCCGACTCGCTTCTTGCCGGTGGCTCTCTCTATACTCGACTGGACCACCGGCCACCGTGCGAGCTCTGCACTCTCCTCAGACTGGCTAACCACAACTCATTGCTCGTTCTTCTCCATTCGAATCTAGGTACACTTTGGATCGAGCGCCTAGCTTCACTTACAGACTATCATTCTGTTTAGACGTTTCAGGAGTAAGTATTTGGTTCAGTTGGAATAAATGTTATTGACTTTAACTGATTAATTGAATTAAAGCTTTTGGAAGGTTTACAGGTATTATCGCTCGTAACTTGGAATCCAAATGATGAAAGTTAACGCATAAATTGATCATCAATATTTATATTGGAATTTACATGTATCTACCTATTTCATTTCAGTTAGAATGAAGTTGCTATTCTAATATAATCTGTACTAGTTTTATTCTGCAGTTTGTTGTGTTCGGCGATTAATTTTAAATTATGTTTGATCTCATTAATGTGATCTCGTATGTAATTTGTAATTGCATAAATATTATTCTGTTTTTTTATGTTCTTTATTTTGTATTTGGCTGGTTTTTTTTTTATTTTTGATTTTAATTTTAATACCTAATTAATGTTGCTTATGTGAGATCAAGTTTTATGTTTCGTTATTCCTGATATTGATATTGTATGTCTGACTATGTTTTAATATTATAATTTTAAATAAGTATATTTTTGAATGATGTGGCCTCCTGTAACTGAGGATGCACATTGTTTTTATATTGTCTTTGCTACTTTTGAGGATGCTATTGAATAAGTATTATAAAATAATTAGGGCTCTAAGATAGTTGTTCCTGTTTCTGTCAGAACGGGTCCACTTAAACTGGTGTAGGTAGTTCTTTCCCCAAAAGACCACTACGGAATGAACTTGTATGGCTCTCACACATTACGTTTATTACATTGTCTGGATTTTAAAAGAGGCTTACCTCCGAGTTTGTTTCGTCATTTCTTCTCAGAGTAGTCAGATAGATAATAATGCTGGCTTTATCTGGTATTTATAAATATTTATAAATGAGTTTGACTTTTCGATTTATAAATATGCCGACTTAACCATAAACAGGTAGGTACCTTCAAACATCAAAATATAAAAATAGTCAACCAGTCTGTTTGTCAATGAAGCTAGTAGCATAATTATTATGTTTTCGTTTTACTCACGTAATAATTTGACGAGATACTCGACTAGTTTCAAGCCATGCTAGAGGCCCATAATCATGATAATTAATTTAGAATGTCTCACGAAAGCTAGTTGCTCATTCCAAAGTTTAGATTAGCATGGAGAAGGACATACATAATTAATGTTCTATTTTTCTATTTATCTATCTAATTTTAAACAAATAAAAACTTTGTTATAAGCCACAATAACAACATGATCCCATAGATAATTTTTTAATTGGCAGTTTGATTTTTATTGAATTTGAATAGGTGTCAAAATTAGCCATGTATTGGCAAAGTAGCTCTTAGAGCTCTCATCGTCAGCCTATAAGTGCCCACTGCTGGGCAAAGGCCTCTTCTTACACGTAGAAGGTTTGAGTATTGATTATCACACTTGGTTCATCAAGGTGGATTGGCAATTTCAAACTTATAATTAGAAATCGTAAGTCCAGGTTTCCTCACGATGTTTCACAATATGTCAGTGGAATCTAAGTAATCATAGAAAGCGCGGGTTGCAGGCCGCGGCCGCGGCCTAAAGCAGGAGAAGGTACAAGGGGTTTTTAGTTAGTTAAAGTCTGACACTCCCTCCTAACCCTGGGCGGGAGTAGAAGAAAGTACATATAACTCAGAAAAGTCACATTGATACCTGATAGATTTCGAACTAACACTCTCATGCAGGAGACGTGGGCACCTCCTGGCATCCACGACACACAGTTCACGTGGGTGTAAAGCAATTCATCTTCTTTGTTCCAGTGTTGGAGTTCCTGGCTGCACACGGATGGTTTGTCCTGGGGGGCATCGCAGCAGCCATCTACATCTACCACAAGTTACGGCCGACGCTCGACAGGTGGCGCCAGCAGCGTGAGGATGCAGAGTACCATAAGAGTGAGTGCATTTATTTACAACTAACTGCATGATGCATTCATGAAATAAATAAATAAATAAATGATGCGGCGATTGACATGCAGTTCTAACAGTATACTAGGTATACTGGCAGACTACATTGGTCAGCCTGATTGCCGACATATCCTAGAAAAAGGTACTGAAACATAATCAGTAGTAGAGATAGTAGGTTCTGTGCCTTATGTCTAGGCGACTTTCTATACTATAATATTATAAAGAGGTAAAAATTTTAAGTTTGTATGTAGGGGGTAATCATTGGAACCGCTGGTCGGATTGCCAAAATTCTTTCACTGCTAGATAGCCACAAAGTAAAACATCACGCTACTATTAAATGGAGTCGAGCAGCGAGTGAAACCGCGTGAGAGTAGCTAGGAAATAAATAATATAAAAAATTGGTCCAGACGTTATTGAGTTATGCGCGAAGCAACACATTTCGCGATTCATTTTTATTTAAATCGCTAGATTAAATTGTCCTTGAAATAAATACTTTGCCTTCCGCGTTGTAAATACTTATTGTTGTACTATTAATTGCAGACCCGGACGTGGCGCTGGCCCGCATGGAGGCAGTGCAGCGCGCGCGCGAGGCCCAGCAACAGAAGCTGTTGGCTGACTCACAGAGGGCGCTAGAGCTGCAGAAAGAGGTTCGCTACCATGTTACCATTTACAGCAGTACCACTTGCCTTGCTGACTGTCATAATTCGCGTCATCGATGGTTGACAGTCCACAACACTTTCGTCCCCCATCACATACATAGATGAAAGTCCACAACACTTTTAAGAGTGGGAGAGCCACACTTCATTGATTTTCGCAGTGTGAATGAGGTAATCAAAGGCCCTATCCTTGTGAACTTGCATGGTGCTCACACATTAAGTTTATTGTCTGGGTTCTGATAAGGAATGCCGGCTTCATCTAGTATTGTTTTATAAATTATATTGATGTGTAAGAGTGCTGTTTGGTTTGATGTGAGATACTGAACAGCGTTATTTATACCCGCTTTGGTTGATCAAAACAAATGTTTATTTCTAATAATGTGTTTATACATATATATATATATATAGCTACAGCGTCTGTCTGTTTGTCTGTCTACAGAGAGAGGAACGTAAGCGCGCGGAGCTGGCGGAGCGGCTGGAGAAGTATGGCGCCGCCGCCGGCGGACACCGGCTCGGGGAGAGGCAGGACGAGAGCGGTACGCGGCGTACTACATCACTCATATAGTGACCACCTTAACATGCGAGGGGATCCCACAGACAGCTACAGTTGTCGACATAGCCCGAAGGATTAGCAAACTCAAGGGGCATATGGTAGACGTGTTCTAGAGCGGAGACCACGTCTAGGCAAACGTAGTGTAGGGCGCCCTCCAGCTGCGAGGACTGACGATATCCGTGAGGAGGCTGGCAGTGGTTGGACGAGAGCTCAGTGGCGTGCAATTGGGGAGGCCTATGTCTAGCAGTGGACAACATCAGGCTGATGATGATACTTAATTCTTGCACTTTACATTGTATTCGAACACCAAAAGTAGTTAATGCTCACCGAACCTTAGCGAGCTAATTAATGCGTGAGATTTTACATTAAGGGCGGGTAGGCCAAGCGAAATAGGTATTTAACGCTACCAAGAGTTGCCCGCGTTTGCCGTAAAGCGACTCGTGCGCTAACGTCGCGGGGAGTGTCACATCACAGATAAGCAGGCAGTAGGGCAACTTGTCTGACGCCCACTTGCACAAACCCGAGTTATCCTTTCAACTCAAAAATAAAAGATTTAATTAATTAAATACTCGTTTTATAACCGACTTCAATAAAAGGAGGAGGTATACTATGTCCGGCTGATTGTTTTTTTTTTGTATGTCATGTTCACCGATTACTCCGCCATTTATGAACCGATTTCCAAAATTCTTGTTTTGTTTGAAAGGTTGTACTCCCGAGAGGGTTCCATTTTTATGAGGTCAGGATCTGATGATGGAATTCTAGGGAAACCGAGGGAAACTTTCGAAAATTGTAGGGAGGACTAGTGCTTTTGCATGTTTTTTAGTAGGCTTTTTACAAAGCTACAATTTGCTGATGGTCGAAATCGACCTGATGATGGAGCTGGAAGACAGTCGAGGGATCTGCTTTATTATTTGCAGTAGTTACCTTGTGTTTGGGCTTGAATGATTCGTATTGGTGAGCACTTTGCACCAAGATTGATCGCGACTGTCATTAGGGGTCTAATGATGAGAACGAAGGGCAGCTCAGGGAACGGTTCACAGTAACTACCTCGTGTTTGGACTTAATTCATATATAACGATGCAAACTTCGCACCTATAGATGGAAACCATTGACAGTCGAGGGAATCCCTCAACGATTTACCGCTAAACTAACTAAACACTGACTAACTCAGGACTCCTTCGTGATTTTCGGTCACAAGTAGCAGTAGTCTTCTCTTTCGAAAACCATTATAAAAAAAAATTAAAGCAAAAAATAAATTTTCTTTGTGGAAATTAATACATGTTATCATTTAGTATAATAGAAAATAATATTAATAACCATTTTATAATCTTGAAGTCGGCGCCAAGTAAATCATCAAAGTCATACCAAAACAACAACAGTTTTAGAAAAATATATTGATCGGTAACTCCTATTCATCAAACTAACAATGGTATAGGTATTCTTGATGTGTGTTATAGGTAATCTTTACAATATTTTTGTTTTACTTGTTGAGCACCGACTTCAAGATTATAAAATGGTTATTAATATTATTTTCTATTTTTTTTAGTTTACTTTTTGAAGTCGGAATATTTTTGTTAACAATTATTTATTATCAATTGTTTTTGTACAAGAAATACGAAAAACAAAAAATCTACTCGGCATTTAAATGGAATGTATTTAAATCATTCAAAACTCTTATATTTTTTTTATACAACAACCACAATATTAAATGTGTCTAAATTATTATTCATGTACTACATCAAACATCTTAAAATTCTTCAAAAGGTATTTGTCTTGAACAATTATGTCTTCCAGAAATTATCGTCCCTTTCGATACGTTCTGTAAGCATGGGTTCATTTTCTCCACCCTAGATGCCGAGCAGACAAAATCGTCTTTCAGTAACGTGAAGCTCCTTGTCCTTGTATTTGATAAAACAATTTAATTTTTTATTTACTGTGGACGTGCAAGTATTTTTGTCGTATTTTAAAATTTTAGCTTGTTATGCTGTACTGCACTGGTAGAACCTTTTTTACAGCAGTTAAAGGACACTTAATTTCAATGAGCGTATCATCGCCTACTAATCCGTCAGGAGTGCCTCTAATAAATGGATAAGTCCTGTCTATGAACAAACCGCAAGGCAAAATACTTATATTTTCCTGTTTTTCAAGCTGTTGACGTGCTTGCCTTTCGTGCTCTATTCCGTGTGCAACAGCAGTTACACATGTCAAATATAATTTTGTATACCTAATATGTTTTTTACCAAAAGAGAGCAGTATGCTATATGCTAATTTTTCTTTTACAAATTTGCCCAAAATTTGAATCGGTGATTAGGTTTTTCCGTATTTCCAACCATTCACTGCTATCCCGTTGCAAAACTGTAGCCCTTTCGATAGCCTGGCTATCGGAAGTAAGCATTCTTAAATTATTTAAGAACTCTACTTCAGCTTTTTTCAATTCGTGTGGAGACATATTTGGTGCTGTGCTCGCTAATGTCATGTTGCTTTTGATTGCCGTCTTTTAATTTCCGTACTTTTTTTACGGGATGTCCGAAGTTTAGGTTTCGTTCTGAGCTCTCCGTCTTTCAATGATTTTGGCCCTGCCTTTAGGACTTTTGTTTAAAAAAGCTGTTTGAACGGCTGAAAGCCCCGATTGGCTGTTAAACGAAAGAACAGGTGCTGAACACCTTCCTTGATAATCTCCTTTTAATGAAATTATTCGTTTTCCACAAATGAATTTAACGATGACATTATTAAAACAGTCAACAAGTTTGTGTAAACGTCTTCGATTAAGCTGCGTGATTTTGCAGCAAAACTTGAAACAATCGCGTTTATTCAAACAATGAAAGTGGAATTCTGGCTCTTTTTAAGTTCTTCGTTGTCATTTCTATCTTTATTGCAATAATATTCTTGGCACATTCTATGGTCGCTAAAAGCATGAGCTACACAGATGATAATATCCGTATGAAGATTAGATATTGCTACATTGCGAGGACCTTCAGAGGTTTTGTGAAGTCTAATACATTGTACTATCGATTTCCGCAGAGTCAAAATTTTGACATTATTAAGCATTTTACGATGCACTTAAACATACTTTGTGTCTGTAATCAGATTACGTAGTTTTTTACAGAAGTTTGTAGTTCTGATATTTTTGTGCAGTGGCTTACCATTCGACAGGCAGGATACCGACAAATACCGACAAACCGATAAAGACAAAATAATGAATTAAATTTAATTATGCAAAATTCTAGCGATCATTTGTACTAATATATTTATAAACTATACTAGAATAATCATAAATTTTGCATTTACCAATCAGAGGCTACATAAAATAAAATTTAATTTTGCGAACAAATTTCATTGCAATAAAAATAAAATGTTTACGTAAATTAGTACTTCTTTACATATCTTTGGAGTGCATTCTTTCTGTGTCTTTTATCACTTTGCGCGACTTTTTTCGCCTGCGTTTTTTATTACGCATTATGATTTATAACTGCAAAGCAATAAATTCTCAAAAAGAGATGATTTGGTGCGTGTAGTTGTCGCTGAAGAAACTGACACAGGTCCGTCGTCGACAAGCGCCAGCACGCGACTAATCGGACATATCTGAGCCGCCGCGACCGCTTTTAAAACTTAATGAATCATAGTAATTAAGAAAATCATTTTATCAATTTTAACTCTGCGAATTTGTCTGTAACTAATAACTTTCTATATTATAGTACAAAAATTAAACGTAAATAATCAGTAATATAGTCGTAATATTGAAAAAACGTTTTAAAAAGGGGTAACTTTGCGATTTTTTT